TATCTATCTATCTATCTATCTATCTATCTATCTATCTATCTATATATCTATCTATCTGACTTTTTGTATCTGTCTTCCTTACTTTTTTTTCTCTCTATACACACTTATTTCAATATAGATTTTTGTCTCTCGAAAGTCTCCCAGCAAAATGTCAAAAGACATAACTTAATGTTACTTCACTCCAAAAAAATCCCGTAGAACCAGAAAGTAAGACAAACATCCATACCAGGAAATACCATTCATCTCATTCACCACTCTATAGTAGAAACGCAATAAGCAGAGCAAACCATATGAAACAGCATGATCAATTCAATTTGATGGGAACGTGAAACCCACTTCTCTCGTTTCAGACATCGTTTTATGAAGCGATCATTTCTCTTTTTTTGGTCTTTCCATCGCTCAATGAATTAATCCCTTGTATTTCATTTAATTTTTTTTTCTCTTTCTCTCTCTCTCTCCAGGGACTAGCTGCCTACTCGCAGAATTAAAAAACACGCCAAAAAAAAGGATTCTCAGCAAAGGAAACAAGTGAAGTAAAAAAAAAAAAACGACAATAAAACCCAGAGCCCTCGACTAGGAAGGAGAAAGTCGTTTGTCGTCCTTACAAGGGTTCCGAAATTATACTCTCGGAGAATCTGCGAGCAAACAGAAGACGTTTTGAAGTGAGCCAAAAGGGCAACGCGACCCGCTGCCGTCTGCTATGAGGGTGGCCAGGTTGTCGGGGAGAATGTCTGGCTGGTCTTGTGCGTGCGTCCTTCTGGTGGCGCTGATGGTGGCGGTGGTAGCCTCTGAGGTGTCCGGTGCTGACCAACAGGTAGGGGACAGTGTCAGGTGTCGTCTGTTCTGTCTGTTTGTTGATCTGTCTGTCTGTTTGTCTCTCTATCTGTTTGTTGATCTGTCAGTCTACTTGTTAATCTATCAGTATCTTTTTCTATAAACCTGTTGGTCTGACTATCTATTTGTATGTATGTATGTATGTCTGTTTGTTTACCTGTCTGTCAGCTTATTAATCTGTCAGTCTGTTTGTTAACCTGTTGTTCTGCTTGTCTGTCTGTCTGTATGTCTGTCTGTCTGTCGGTCTGTCTGTTTGTCTGTCTGACAACAAGAACTGCTGCATAATTTGTAAAAAACCTCACACACAAAAGGTCTTGCATTTCATTTTTATCTTTTATACGACCCCAGAATTTTCGGGTCTATATCATGCGTTCTTTTTAATTTAAAAAATTTTTTTTTTTGGGGGGTGGGGAGTAAAGATCTACCAGTTTGACATACTGACATTTCTTTCTTTCTTATGTTCTGTAAAAAAAAATCCCCAAACTATTCTTTATTAAGCAAAAAGTGTTTATGACAATATTGTGATTTCAATTTCAAGTTTCTCTTTAAACTAAACGACTTAACTGTTTGTTTTCTTTGAACGATGATATCTGTCTATTCAAATGCTAAGAAGGGCATTCCGATTTCTGTTAAAGTAAAATTCCGATTTAACAGTATGTCATTTTGTCCATTAATTAATTTCTTAGAAATTGTGAAACTTGATGACGTCGGCGTGTGGCGAAACACCAGTTGACTCTTGAAAGGAAGAGAACTCTTCATTGTTAGAAAAACTATTTCATTTTGCAAGAATTAAGCTGTTTTTATTATGAAATACACGCAAATCATCATAATTTATAGATTTGAACTTTTCAGGGAAACCGTACAGAGATTTTTATGAGTTGATTATTTTTTCGAGATGCTCATTGTTAACGGCTGTGTTTGAGTGCAACATATTTATTGTTACTTTTCACTGTCGCTGTAGTTCTATAATGTTTGCGGTTTTTTTTTTGTGTGTGTGTGTGTGTGTGTGAGTGAGTCAGTGTGTGTGTGTGCGTGCGTGTGAATGAGTGAGTAAGTGTGTGTGTGTGTGTGTGTGAGAGAGAGAGACAGGATAGAGAG